TTTGGTGGAGCTGGTTGCATGAGGCCGTCCTGTGACAATTGACAGGACGGCAGATAGAACCGCGGACACCACCCCAGAGCCTTGACATCATGGCGTGCTGAATTAATGGCCCCCAAATTCTCTACGCCCAGAACTCTTGCTACATAAGATGATAAATATCACGGTGTGACCCACGTTTGAGTCAGATGGTATATTCCTCGCTGCTGAATTCAGTCCGTCTGGAATGTAGTTTTCATAAAAACAAGATAATAGGAAGCACGAGTCCAGTCCAAAAGCCTGGGCCAGTATTGTGGCCCTGATGGAAGTTTTCGTGGAGAGACTGAAGGCAGCGTTACATTCCACCTTCCGTGCTCGGACAAAGCCCTTAGCCATCGCCGCCCTCTCCCTCATCTTTCCCAAGCTCTTTCCACCAACTCATCTTTCCCAGCCTCTGCCCATTTCTAGATTTCCTCTTCATTCTTTTTTCTTACGTGGAGCAAGTTAGGCCTCTCTCAACTTCTCCACTGAGAAACACATTGGCTGTTTTCACACTACAACTGTAGAGCCGAGAAGTTGCAACAGAGACTGTACAGCCCTCAGCGTCTAAAATATTTACCATCTGGCCTTCACAAAAAATGTTTTCTGACTCCCGGGCAAGAGCGACACACAGGTAGATATGAGTTACTGGTAACTTTAGGTTCACAGGTGTTTGTTATGTTATGAAGAATTGATGGCTGAAAGCTACACGTGGGGCACTGATGGCCATGTGTTGTCAAGAAATGATTATTAAATTCTGTGCACCTGAAAACAGAAATAGGAAGGAGGGAAGAAACCACTTACATGACCTGCTTTGTCACCTGCACCTCACTTTTGCCCATTGTATCTGTGATGCCCAAAAAGTGTTGGAGAGAAGGACAAAATATGCCAGGCTGGGTAAAGCAGACTTTCAGGAAGGAGCAGGAAGAGTATCCTGGGTTCCGTGGGTGGGAAGGAGCCTGGCCAAAGGAGGAAGGGGTCCCCAAAGCACAAAAGGCTATTGAAATCCGTTTGCAAGGAGCCTCTTGCCCTTGTACCAGGAGAGTGGCATGAGGGGCCAGCCCTCACGGCCCTCCCTCAGGACCTCCCTCCTGCCTTCAGGTCAAGGTTACCCTTCAAGTGCTGCAGCATACAAGTCCTGGCGGGCATGCTCATGGCTGATTGTCAACATGCATGAAGACACGCTGGGCCAAGACATGCCTTGCCGGATGAACCTCGAGCACAGTCTGGGGAAGGAAGGGCTACGTTACCCCACGTGAGAGATGGAGCTCGGCGCTGGCGAGTCACTTGCCCAGAGACAGAGCCATGCCGGAGCTCAAATTCCAATCAGACCCATCTGATTCCAGAGCCCACACTCAACTGCTGAATTCCACCGCGGAGGCCGCGGCTGCCATCCACTTGCTGCCTCCGCAGGAGCGAGGCTCTGCCGCGCTCCCGGCACCGCGGCCGTGCGGCGCACTTTGCATGTTGCAGAAGGGCGGCAGCAGGCACTGAACCCGCTCGGCAATGGCAGGGGCTGTGCAAATTCAAAGAAACGGTTCCAGTCCCGGCGGGAAAGTTCCCAACAGCTTGAACTAGAGGACAGTCGCACTTCACTGACGCCGGTGCTCAGAGGGGCGGCTTTATTGTTTATATGTGAAAAACGAAGAAAGGGCCAGGACCCCCACACCGGGGCAGGGATGAAAGATTGAGAAGTATTCTCAAGCCGTGCTGTCCGAAAGGTCAGTTCAGTGGCCGTGGGGGTGGGGTAAGGAGCAAACAAGCAAGCGGCAGCCGAGAAGTATTTGTGGCCCCAGAAAGCAGCTTGTGACGTCCACTGAAGGAAGCCACGGCTATGAATTTCAGGCCATCAAGACCCTGTCAACACAGCTAATCCCCATGGATGCTGGCCGAATGCACCTCCAATGGCCGAGGCAGTGGCCTGCGTGACCCGCGTCTGCTCTGGCCGGCCGGTCTGTCCTCCTCTCACACACTCTGGTGCCTTTCTGCGGGAACCCCGGTGGCGAGCCCCGCCCAGCACCCCCGGCCCGACAGGGTTAACACCACATGGTTAATAAGTCAACAGAATTCAGGAGCCACTGCGGATTAAGAAGGCAGTGTTATTTTGGTGCCCTGGACTTCAAGCAGATTAAATAATCAAAAAGGCCGAGCCATCGGGGTCATGTTTGAATGCTACAGCTGTTCACTGGGGTTTGACAAACACTCTTTATGTGGCCTGTCGTCTGGATGGGAAAGGCAGGGTTGAGCTCAGGGAGGCCACTACTTTAAGAAAGAAAAAGGGGCACAATCCAAAGATCCTCTTATGGAAACCAGCCCGGCCAGATGGAGACAAGGGGAAGGACTGCTTAAATACAAGGCCTTTTGAAAGCGACAACTGTTTTCTGCATTGAAGAGAAGCAGAAGCAGGATTCAGAAAAAAGGAATGAAAAGCAGGGCTCCAAGTTTGTCATGCCCTCGGTTTGTTGATCGGCTCACCAATAAAGGAGGCTACAGAGTCACAAGGCCGCCTGTGGAGACCCAGTCATGAAAGGTGAGCTGTGGCCCATGCCCCTCAGAAGAGTTCTCGGGAGAGGGATGGGATCCCGCTCAGGAAGGGGTCTGTGGGAAATCTATTTTCAAGTCATCTTTCTGAAAAGACTAAATAGATGTGAAAAATGCCTCTGTATGGGAAGATGTGTTAGTGCCATGTTGTGTGCAGAGGAAGGGGGTGGAGACAGACGTGTGTAGCCATGATGTGGGTATGCAGTTGGCATGGCACAGGCCACTTCATAGCAAACATGGTGCTTGGAGGTGGAGTTCATATATCATTCCCTTGTGGGGGGAGTGGAACCAAAGGTCGAATGAACAAATCGCTACAATCTCAGAAAGACAAGCCTTTTGTTAATAGATTAGTGGATTCTGTGGGAAACATGTTCTCTGGTTTAAGAATTGATTTTCTGCAGCTAATTTAATGCTTGAGCCCCACAGCTAAGGGCGAGGGGTGTTGGTTCATTAAGACATTTTGGCTTTGAAAGGAGTCATTTAGATTATTTGTAAAATTATAGACAGGAAAACAAGGGTTTTGCTCTTTCATATTTTGGAAAGGGGAAAGGGACTATGATGTTCTGCATCCCTGAACTAAATTAAACTGAGAAGAATCTCTGTCAGAAGGCTCTCCAAACATCTTACCTATAGCCCTAAAGCACTGTTAGCATCAGTAGAGAATTCAAGAACAGAGGGGAGTAGGCTCAAAGGCATTTGACAGCCACACCACACACTTCTCTATGTAAGGCCAAAAGCAAGCAAGCAAAGAAATAAAAAACCTCTTTTAAGAGCTTTCATTGTGAGTAGATAACTATTTTGAGTTTTGAATATCACTGTGTGACCTTGTGAATTCATCTACCAATTTAACAAGATGCCTTTGACAAATGTTTGCCATATTTTGCAATTCAAGTCTCAGGAAAAAAGAAGGGATGGTTATATAGCTACTCTGGAGAATTTACTAGCAGTATCTAAGAAAATGTAAACTCAACATCCTCTCTGAGCACTACAAGGAAATTCCTCTTGATTCCAGAGACCTTCTCTCATGTTCCTGAACAGACAAGGAGGTCTGCACAAGGATGCTCTTTGCAGCTCCATGTATAATGAATAAAACAACTAGAACAGCTCAAATGCCCCTCAGGAAGGAGCTGGATTAAATATGACATGTAGCTGGTCTCATCATGGAATACTCTATAGCAGTTAAAAGGAACGAATTAGCTTGCTAGGTATTCATGTGGGTAGATAAGTTTTGAGGGAATACAGCAAATTGCAGAGTGAAACATGCTGATGATTGTATTTGTGTTACATTATAAAAACTGCTATGCCAAACAGTGAGTGAGAGAGAGAGAGTATGCTGCAGGCAGTGGAGCACAGTGGATAAGAACTGACAGACTCTGGAAGCAGACAACCTGGGCTCCAATCACAGCTCTACTACTTAGTATCTGTGTGAACTTGGGCAAAGTGATTCAGCTTTTCTGTGCCTCGTTTCCTCACCTTTCAGATGGGGATAATAACACAATCATATTCATAAGGTTATGAGGATCAATATATATACGAAGCACTTAGAGTGGTACCGGGATCAAAATGCATGCCATTAATATATGGTTATTTGCTGTTGTCATTATTAACTATTATTTCTAAATGTCTGGAGGGATACATCAGTCATGGTGGGAATAAAGGGAGCTCAGTTGGAAAACATGAGTTGGCCACTGATCAAAGGGTGTTCAACTACATAAGTAATGAACTGCTTCTTTGAGTTATAAGGAAAAAAATGAAGGAATTATGATAACCTGTGAATGACTTGCAGAAGTGTTATAGGAATATGTGTATTTATTATACTATTATTAATGTCTTCTGTATTTTAAAAATCTCTTGAATACAAAAGCAGCAGAGATAGTCATCATTCATGGAATTACATCTGCAAAGATGGACATCAATTTACAGGAATGTTTCAGACCTGCCTTATCCAATATAGTAACCATTAGCCACATGTGTCTATTTAAATTTAAATTAATTGAAATTAAATGTAAGTACAAATGTGGTTCCTTGGTTGCTGCAGCAGAATTTCAAGAGCTCAGTGGCCACACGTGGCTAGTGGCTCCCATATCGGATAGCAGATACAGAACATCTCCACATTGCATAATGCAGAAGTCTCACTGGACAGTGCCGCTCTGCAGCATACTTTTAAAAAATGTGACTGTCTGAAATCCCCATCACTCTTCTACATATCTGGCCCCAAATGATTCTGCTTTACTCTACAAAGGCACGTGCCCCAAAAGATTTCTTTCACCTTCCCGTTGGACACTCTACATCTTCCATCTTTCGGTTGCTGAGGCACTGAGAAAGTACCCTTCCCAAGGCTTCCAACAATAGTCAGCACAGAGACTGCAATAATTATTGACTGGGGGGCTGCACTCAGTCCAGCCCAACACTACTACAGACGGTGAGCTCAGAATCACATCGCCTGTGAATTCAATGGGGAAAAATGCTGCTACCACTTCTCTCAAACTGGCTCCTATCCCTGTTTTTTTCTGTTTGCCGTAGGTGAACTGCTCCTGCTTTCAGGCGTGATTGTTCTACTCCAGGTGGCACACAGCTGCCCAGACAAGTGCCACTGTCACACATCCTCAGACTTTGTAGACTGCAGTCAGCAGGATCTGGCTGAAATCCCTTCAGATTTACCTCCTCAGACTCGAACGCTTCACTTACAAGACAACCAGATACATCAGCTTCCTGCTTTTGCATTTAGGTCAGTGCCATGGCTCATGACCTTAAACTTGTCCAACAACTCCCTTTCGAGTCTGGCCCCTCAAGCTTTCGATGGACTTCAGCACTTGCAGGTTTTAAATTTAAGCCAGAATGCTTTGCCTTCCCTGGAAAGCAGACTTTTCCATTCCCTCTCCCAGCTGAGGGAGCTTGATTTATCATCAAACAACATAAGCCACCTTCCCACATCCCTGGGCAAGCCTTGGGAGAACCTAACCATATTTGCAGTTCAGCAAAATCAGCTTCAACAGCTTGATGGAGCTCTCCTAGAATCCATGCCCCGTGTGAGGCTTTTATTTCTCAAGGACAATCTCTGGAAATGCAATTGCCACTTGCGTGGTCTTAAACTCTGGCTGGAGAAATTTATCTATAAAGGTCAGTAATGTCTCCTTGGAAACCCCCATCTGTGTGTTACCAGCTCAGGATGAACCTCATCTGTCGTCGGCATTAGAAGGAATGTTGAGGAGCATGCAAGGGGTGGATTTAAGCTTTTTCACACCAATGTCATTTCATGGTATGGCAAAAGAGGCAAGTGAGTCATTAGAGGTGTTTAAAATTTTGAGTATTTAAATTTATCTACAGATATGATGCATAGAGATAACTTTCCATTTGTTTAACTAATACAACATGAAGTTACTTTTCCGGGAATATGCCTTTAAGGAAGAGAAAATTCAATCACCACCTGAATAACAAACTACTCAACGCCCAAATGGCACCAAACTCTAATTTTCAAGTGTGATCCAATTGGAGGCATGGCTGTCTTGCCTTGGAATATTTTTCTTTCTTTGTTTGATAGCTACAAATATTCCCTAAGAGTATCCTTTCTGCTTTAGCAAATACCGCTGTTGTTGAGATTGGTTGCAATAGGGCCTCTCTCTGAAGTTACCTATAATTTCTTTAATCTGATGCCAAAAGCAAAGCAAGAAATCCCAGAATATTAAAGAAGGATTCTGAAAATCACACAGAGGTTAGCAAACTTCAGCCCAACGGCCAAATCCAGCCTATTGTTTTTACAAATGAAGTTTCATTGGAACACAGCCATGCCCATTCATTACATACTGAGTTTCTCCCTTGCCAGGTAAGGGCAAAGTTATTATAGGGACTGCATGGCAAACATTAATATCTGGACTTTTATAGAAAAGTTTGCCCACCCTGTCATCAATGGTCAATGGAGGCCCAGAGAGGTTCAGTGACTTGCCCAAGATCACAGAGTAGAAGCCCAGACGAGAAAAGAATGCATGGCTTTTGGCTTGGCCCTCCATTCTCTGCTCTGTCTCACAGTGCTGCTCTTCCCCCGTCTCTCAGCATCATTCATTCATTGCTATACTGAGTGCCTTTTACATGCCAGGCACTATTCAGGCACTGAGAAGAGGGCAGTAAACAAAAAGGTCCTAACCATTACGGAAGCTCCATTCTGGCAGCAGAAACAGGTTAAATAAGATGATAAATAAAGACACATGCTCAGATAGCAGTTGGTGCTAAGAAGACAATGAGGCAGGTAAAGGGGAGAGGGGGGACGGAACAGGGTCCCATTTTAGGTAGGATAAACAGGGAAGGCCCCTCCAAGAGGGCGATATGGGTGAGCAGAAGCTAAACAATGAGGAGGAATGAGAGGACTGGGGGAGAGGACAGCAAGTGCAAAGGCCTGGCGAGGGAGGAAGCTTGGCTTGGCTGTGGGACAGAAAGAGGGACAGCAGAGTGGCTGGGCACAGGGAGAAAGTGAGAGTGCACCGAGACAAGCTGCACAGGTGTGCAGGGGCCGGGCCAGGCCAGGCAGGAGCGTGCAGCACAGCCCAGGATGTCTGGACTTTATTCCAACTGGGATGGAAAGCTCTTGCAGAGCTCCATCAGGGGAACACTATGATCTGATCCCAATTTGGAAGGTCACTCTGGTGGCTCTTGGGAGAGCTGACCAAAGGCTGCGGAAGAAGCAGCAGGGAAGAGGGAGAAGGGATCTCAGGCAGCCAGCAAAGAGATGGTGGTGGTTTGAATCAGGGCGGGGAGAAGAGATCAACTTTGGGAGATACCTGGAATACTGAACTGATAGAATTTGCTAGCAGGTTGGAGTGGAAAACAAAAAGGGGGGCATAATTATGGGAAATTCTATTTGTTTTGTCCTGTGCGGTAACCAGACAAAGGGCGATGCCGTTCGCTGATAAGGGGAGGACAGAGGAGTGGAGAAAGTGGGTGAGGGGTGGCCAGTCAAGACTCCAGTCGGGGTGAGTCCTATCTGAGATGGCTTTGCACATCCTAACAGAGCAGTTAAGTCTGAGGTTCTATATTGAAGACTGCAGTTCAGAAAGACATTAGAGCTACAGACGTGAATCAGGGAGTCAACAGAGTCTAGGTGGTTGCAGGAGGTCTCAGAGGGAAGCAGGTTAGGGGACAACATGGGTTCAAATATACAATATTGAATTAAGAATCCTTCTCAACCATATGTTAGCAAATAACATATTACTAATGAGCCAATGTTAAAATTAACCTAGAACAAGAGCCATAGAATGGGCCAACATCTTCCTTATAAGAGATTGCAAGTAAAACTCTTCCATCTGGAGGTAAAATGGCTTGAGCTATTGTCTTCTGGATTAAATTGCAAGCATAAGCCAGATCATCATAGGAAGATAGTCTTCACCAAAAAAGAACATTTCTTAATAAAATAAAAAACAGTTCCTAGGACCAGGACACTAGACACAACGTGGGTTGGGATAAAGTTCCCCCTACTCTGCCACAAACTTGCTTGTGGTCTTTGGGCAAATTCATACCCTTCACTAGCTCCCTGTGACCAGATGGAAACTGACAATAGCAAGCCAGGGGGTTCTTGGGGAGCCTTCTGGTCCTCAGATTTGGTGATGCAGTTCAAGGGTTGCTCATGGCAGAGCTGTAGTACTGCTTCTCTTTAGAGGAAGGTGAAATTGACTTGGGGTAACAAGACCTGGATGTTCCAAGATAAGCAGAAAAAAAACCCAAGTAGATGCCAAACATGGGAGACAGTCTGATTATGAAATTAGTAAAGACCTTCTTCAAAAAATACATAAACAATGCAAACACTAGAGCTATTAGACAGGGCAGGCTAATTGATATAACAGACAACCCCAGACTTCTGTTACATATGCAATAGAAGTCTGCTGCTCATTCATGTCAGAGTCTAAGGAAAATGTGGGCAGGTCTGCATTCCATGCAGTTATTCAGGGATGTAAGCCCCTTCCAGCTTGTAATGCCAAGAGCTTCACCTTGTGGTCTCTAAGGTCATCACCAAAACGGAACAAAGTTCGTGGAGGATTACGTTGGGGGCTTTATAGCCTGGCAGTGGAATCAATTGGTTTCATTGGCCAGAACTCAGTCACATGGCCCCATACTGACCACAAAGAGTGGGAAAATTTAGTCTTCTTGTGGGCCTTCACCAAAGATGTGCTTTGGTGAATGCATAATAATATCTCTTCCACAAAAACGTGCCCATAGATTTTATAATTACTATTCCTACCTTTCTCTCTTCATAAGTAAACAAATCATCTTTGTGCTAATAGCTAACTTTAGCAAACATTTCCTCTTGGCTAGGTATTATGCTAAATGATTGACATACTTTATCCAAATGAGTCCCTAGAGCGACTGCTCTCCCACTTTCCAGATGAGCAAGCAGAGGCACCGTGTGGCCAAGGAGCTTTCTAGAATTACACAGCTAAGTAAAGTGCGGACTTAAGATTTCAATCCAGTCCTTCCCAAGACAGAGGTTAAGAGCCGCCAGTGGTCAGAGAGAGAACAACGAGTGCTTGGCAAGCTGGAGCTTCCTGCACTGTCAGTTTACACAAGTCTGGAAGGGAGTGGGGCCCTCAAGCTATCATCAGCAGTTTGCCGCAAGGAGTCACTGCCTATGACACAGAGGCGGAGAGACAGAGGTGAGTCCTGGCTGAAGAGGAGCTCACAGGAGGCCTTGGAGCTCTTGGCAGCCACAGTCCCTGCCTTCCAGCCAAGTCCCGGGTTCCAGCCTGGTTATTTCTTTGGCTTTGGGTCCCAAGGATGTGGCTCCAACCCTCATAGGGCAGGAAGTTTGGAACCAGAGAAAGACAGTTCTTAAGTCTGGAGTGATTACATAAACCACCCCAGTCTAGGTAGAAGTCAGCTGATGAAATTGCCTGTCCCACAGCAGGTGGCCTTTCTTCCCCTGGTGGAAGTCTCACTGGTCTTTGGCAGATTAAATATTATTACTACTTCTCAAAGGCCCACGCTTCATTTCTGTCTCTCTGGCCTCTGCAACCGACTCCGTGGTGTAGGCTCTGATGGCCAGGAGCAGAGGAATGGAAGGCTCGAGAGGCAGGGGTCCTTGGTCTCAGCACAGCTCCGTGGCAGCCTGGGCGTGTCTGGAGCAGCTGCCCCACACCTCGGGCCTCATGAAAATCAGTGGCTCAGAAAAGGGGGAACATTTTTTTTTACCTTTTTGCTTTAGAGTTGAGACTCCTGCCTCAAGGGATTGCTGAAGAAGCCAGGAGGAGCCCAAGAGACTCAGGTGGTGGATGATTCAGTTTTATGCAGTGGCAGCAACAAGTCATAGGTTGAATTTTACTATTGCCACTAACCTGGTGTGTCCGGGCCGGGATAAGCCTTGCACTGCAGACTGGCCCTATCTGCCTACAGGGCCACTCGGGACTGGTCTTAACAAGGCTTAGACAGAAGAAATGTGAAAACATTCCTCACAATCCAAAGTGCTGTGCCACGGAAGGCACTAATAATGCTGAAGTGACGGCCTCCACGAGTGTCCTTCTGCTATCGCCATTTCCTGCGGGGTGTGCTGAGGGTCTCACACACCTGCGGGGTGTGCTGAGGGTCCCCAAGCTGTAATAACTTTGTTAGGAGCGTGCCTGCCGTGGCAGCTCCCCTGCGGGAGGGAGGTCTTTACGGCGGCTCGGGGCAGTTCTGCCCGTCACAGGGCTCCCTGGCCGGCACCGCCAAGGGCCAGCTGCCCACTCCCCAGGCCTCAGGACTCTCCAGAGAGGAGGAAGCAGAGAACAGTGAGTGTAGGGGAAACCAAGATGGAGCGGGGAGGGCCGGCTATGTTTTTATGGCAGAAAACGTAGTCAGTTTATGTCCCCAAAGTCAAATAGTGAATCGGGGGGTCCAACTAGGCTGGAATGAAGTTCGTTAGCCTGATGCTCTTTCTAGGAAAGAATTGCTGACCTCCTAGATCCCCCCAACAACCGTCGTCCACACACCTGAGAAAATCAATCTCTTTACGGGGAATAGAAACCGGGTTTAATAACCCGTTGGAAATTTCGGTACACAAAGTGGTAAATGTTTCGCAGCCTGAGGAGACACGTTAATTACACTTAATCCCATGAACCGACCTAACAGTGCTGTCAGCGCTCAGACTCACAAAACACCGCAGAGCCCACTCCCCCCGCTCGGCATCCCGGCCAGTGTTGGTGGACACACACAGTCTGTGTAATTAACACATAACATCACAACAATGGACACTTGTTTTACTTTTTCCTTCGGCTCCAAGGGCTCTGGCACAAAGGGCTTCTTGTGCGGCGGCGGGCGCCGCGGGCCGCGGCCTCGCTGGGCCGGGCTCGTTCTCGCGGCGCTTGCATTGTCTCCCTCAGCATTTATGGGACGTAAAGGTAACGTGGCTTCTAATGAATTCTTGGGCATAAGTAATTGCCAATTTAGTGTGTGGCATTTTTAGCATTTAGCCAATTTAGAAAATCCTAAAATCATAAAATATGGTTGTTAAATTCTTTGACTCCAGGAAAAAAAGTACTTCATAAATTCCATCTGCCTAACTTTTTGCAGGCTGAAGATTTTGGAGCTGCGCTGTGTCAAGGCTCCCTTACCATCTTTTGCTTTTTCTTTTCAAAGGGGGAATAACGGACAGCGTCATCTGTAGGTCGCCGGACACCTGGAAGGGAAAGGACCTCCTCAAAATCCCCCATGAGCTGTACCGGCCCTGCCCTCCTCCTGCGCCCGACGCCGGGTCCCCGCACACTCAGCAGCCCAGCTCTGCCCACGGGGTGGTCCCGAGGTCGCCCGAGAACCACAGCTCAGGGGGACGAGACCCCCTGGGGTGTGAGTTCAAGCCCAAGCCGAGGCCGGCGAACCTCCGTCACGCCATCGGCACCGTCATCATCACTGGGGTTGCATGCGGGGTCCTGTGTCTCATGATGCTGGCGGCTGCCGTCTACGGCTGCACCTACGCGGCCATCACAGCCCAGTGCCCCGGGCGCAGCGCCGCCCGCGCCGGTGAGCCTGGGAAGACAGACAGAAAAGAGCTCTGCGACGGCTCGCCAGCCTGAGAGCTTTCACCTCAAGTAGAATCGATCACTATAGGCCAGAAAGGGTCTGAGTAGGGCTGATGTGTTTGCTGTTACTGTCACATTTGCTTTTCCAAAAGAAAAAAGAAGAAAAGACATGTCTGTAAAAAAATACTCCTGGGAATAAATTTATGTTGAGATTTTTAAGATATCATGGATGAAATAGAGACGATACCTGTGCTCTGGGCCTGAGGAGTTGCTGCGATGATTCTCTGTAGGTGAAGACCACACTCAGAGACGGGAGAGATACCTCCTCTTTCAGGTAGTCTTCCCTGGATTAAGTTGCTTTCACAGAGCAACGGAGATTCAAACGCACACGCCAGTCAGCATTCCTGGGAGCTGTACGGTCCACTGGAAAGCTGCCCAATTTTGAGTGCCTGGGAAGAGGCTGGTGATCTCACCCGAGGGGCACTGAATGCCTCTCTAATTCAAGTCCATGCTAGATCGGTGATACTTCTAGATGTTGTGTATGTTATATATTTAATGGGAGCATCTGTTGGTTGGGGATTTTGTTGCTTGCCACAAGAGTCAGATTATATTTAATTTTCTAAATCAGAAAACCATTTGGGGCTTTCTGAGCCGCAGAGGAAGAGGAGGGTTCCATGTCTGGATAATGGGATTCAGGCCCAGAGTCTGGGGAAGTTTTCTGATACAAGGGTAAATAACACATAAACAAACACAAAGAGGATGGGGAGCCGGAATTCGGGGCAGATATTACCAAAAGGCCATATCCACCGAGGGATTGGAAACTTCCATTTATAACTCTCACAGCAGGAACGAATTTAGGCTGGGCTAAGAGCAAGATAATGACTTTTGTGTATCTATATCTACAGACACAGCGCACAGAGTGCGTAGACTTGTACAACCACACCCACACATAAACATCCTTGGAGCAATCAGTTCACCCACTAATGAAACGCAGCCGTGTCAGGGTGCAAGCCAGCAGCTGCTGACCACCACCCAGATTGTCTACTCAACACTCTGGGATAGGAAGAAAGAAGAAGGAAGACCAAAGAGAGCGGGAATTACCCAGAGACTCGAGATAGGTGGTGGCAGCCATCCTGAACATTATTTAGGCCGTGGTTTAAAAAAAATCAGGTGTGGCTGGCTTTACTCCACAGACATGGTCTTAAAGAGTTGCATGCAAAGTGAATTTTTGTAAATTGAATCATCATTTTAATGCAGTAGGGGAGCTGGCTATTTAAAGGAACCTTTCATGGAATCTTTCTGTAATGAAAATAATTGGATCCAGATTTATGCATTTTGTAAATTGGCATTTTCTCATACTAGGTTTTCTTAAAGTAGAATCTACCTGTTCTCTCTTATATGCCCCACCTCATACTTAGTCACCTGTTAGTATTAAAATCATTTTACAGAGGAGGAGAACACAGAAGAGTTATGGACATATTAAAAACACAGCATGGCAAATATAGGGCAAGCTGTCCATCCAGAGGCCATGACAGACATCGCTAATCAATCCCAGCACTCCTCCCAGCTGAGCAACACAGATGCCTTCTTAAGAGAACACTGTAGGCAACCAGAACTAATCAATTGGAGTTGGTTCAAAGGATAAAGCACATTTGCCATTCAGGATACTGGCTCTATATACACTTCTTCAGGCCATGTAAAAAGTGGTTTGGATCCTAAATCAGTAGTCCATTCTCTAACTAGAATGTGAATGGAAAGTTCACGTATATCGGACAGATGCAACCTAAGCCTTGCCCCACAGTGTAGAGAGGCCATAGGGAAACAGACAGATGAACCGCTCACACCCTACTGTGCAGGGCTCACCCCAATGCACCTCCAGTCACCACAGAGGCAGTCTACACCTGCCCACAGTGCTTCACAATTAGCGTGGGCTCCACACACCCACAGGCTCAAGGTGGTCCACCGTTTTGGAGCAGCAATTTTACTAGATTTTTCTGGGGTGGGGAGAAGTTTAAATTTTGATGGTAAGTTTTTTTCTGAATATTAAAATAAACCCCAACACATTACAGTGCAGACCATGAGGAGACCCGGGGAAAGCCTGCCGCTGCATCGGCTCTGTCCAGGCCTTGGCACCCCCCGTTGCTCTGTCCCCTGGGCCACTCCAGTGGGCAAGGCTGAGCATCCTGCTGTAAGGGCAAAGCAATGACTTTCCTGGTGAAAAGAACATCTTTCCTTCCATTGCCCTGGACTGAGAATTCTTGGCCCAAAATGCAACATGAGAAAGAAGATCTAGATCTTTTTATACCTCACACCAATTTCACCAAATGTTTCCTGAGCCTGCACGGTGTGCCAGGAATGGTGCATGGTGTCCTCGTGAGCATTCACCGTGTGGCCTGACACCGTCCGCGCGGGATGCTTGAGTAGGTATCACGTTAGCTGGGAACGACTGAGGCCAAGAACGTGTGCTTCCTGGCTGTGGTGATTTAAGACTGCAAGTGCACTGTGTCCTGCCTGAGGTTTGGTGACAGTGGAGGTCAACCCTGTCCCCCTGCCCACAGGGATTACATGAGAAAGTTTCCAATACACCACAGAAAAGAAACCCTGAACACGACTAGAATCCTCGCGGGTCAACACCCATGTCCTCTTAGATTTCTAAGCACAGATGATAACTCAGACAATACACTTCCTACTTTATGGGTAGTCTTTAAGGAAAATGATTAAAATGATGCATCCGTATATTCAGATTTCTATTTGTTGCCTACAGTCACCACAAACAGCAGTTGGCACTGAAAATAATTACTTAGCCTGAAATGTCAAAAGCTTCTCAGCACAGAAAAATACATAAATCAAATTGTTTAGATTAACAAATGCAGAGTTATCATTTGTTAATATGAGAAATGAAATGTTTTAACAGTAAAAAAGCATTACAGATGAAAGACCAAATTTGCAGGGTATTCTGTGAGAACCACAAATTATCTTTCACAACCACTACAGCACATGAGGGGTAATTTGCAAACGCCTCATAGATTATTTTCAGCTGTTTATTGCTGCTGTCGTATTCATAGATTCCCTCGTAAAAATGTCTTCTCTCGCAGAGCCTTGCTGAGGGTACACTGTGAACGCAAATCACACCGGGTGCTGATTGTCTCTGAGCAAACCATCTAAAATAGAGCTAGTCCTTTCACCGTATTCAGTGGGACGGTCTGAGTACAGACTGCTGCCCTTTGCTTTGCCAGAGACCACAAGCTCGCAGGCAGGCGCGGTAGCCGGCCGCAGCGCAGCACGCACAGAGAGAGAACGAAGAATGTACGCCGCCATAGGGATTTTGTTGAAAGAAGATCTAGAATCTAATCTATATCTGAAAAGCTTTTACAATTAAGGCAAATATCCCTGACCATGTAGGAAGAATCTTACAGAATTATAAAATGCCAATGGATAACTGGGTGCTTTATTTTTCCATTTTTTCCTTACAGAGACTAACCGGTGATTCACATGTGGATTTTTTCCTAAAGGTTCATGAAAATCAAATCTCATTGCTCAAGTTAACCAAGTACCCCTGAAACGTCTTTGTCTTAGATCCTAAATATCAAAGGAAGTAGCTAAATCAACTTCTAAATTAATCTATCTGTAGCACACATTCATATAATTAAACAATAACCATTAGAAACCTGTAACTAAACTTTCTATTACAGGTCGGGGTATTACTGTTTCTAGTTTGGTAAAACCCATCAGTGTATCCATTGCTAAATGCTACTGACAGAAACCTACCAACAATGACATTCCAACCTTACATGGCGTTGCTGGGCTATGGTTTACATGCACAACTTCAGGGAACCATCCTGTTTGCCCTTTTAATGAAAATGTTTTTTTAAATTAAAAATTGCAATGTGGTCTTAAAGGAACCCCTGCCCCATTCAGAGAAGCAGCTTCATAATATACTACTCCTCTTTTAGCTTTTTTTTTCATTTTTATTTGTGTATTTTTATTGACATGTAATATCTTTTAGATTCTTGATTGGACTATGCATGCCTGCTTTTTACCCCAACAATACCTAATATTCATTTGGATGGACAGGATGTCACTGGGTTACAAAAGCCCATCAACAAAATCCAGAAAAAGAATCAGAGGACTGGCGAACGCGGAAGGGGCTTGGCGAGCATTTAGTCTGGGCCTGGAAAATTTCAGAGCAGCTGCCGTCAGCCTCTCTATTCACTGCAGACTTTGCTAATAGATCATGGCAAACTTATCTGCTTAGCCCAGACAAGGCCTCAGAATTTTTTAAGAATCTGTTTTCCCACTACTGATCAACTGGAGTTGACATAAGAGATTAAACCCATTTGCTACCCTGATATAGTTCTGTGTTCTTTATTTACAGATAGGAAATAGAAGCATGGAAAAGGAAAGAAACTTTCTAAAAGTTGTGCACATAATTAATTTCAGGCTTGATAAATGTGGTTGTAGGAGCATCAAGTTAGCATGCATAACACAACCTGACCTTCCCTATTCTTCATTCATTCTGCAGTGAGCCACAGTATCAAGACTAGGATATTATTATACTAATTATTTGGATAAAGACAATTATAGCACCACTATCAGCATATATTGAGTATCCAATTTTGTGCCATGTATTTTCCAAGCATAATACTTACTTTTCTCTAAGCCTCATAATGACAAAAAACATGTGAGTATTGTACTACCACATTATAGATAAGAGACATGATCAGAGAGCTTGGGTCACGTGCTCAAGGTCACACCACTAGTAAATGGCAGAGTAGGAATCTGCATGCAAGTCTTCCCAAGGCCAAAACCTTGGCACTTTTCAGAATGTGACATGTTCAAAGAAGTCAGAATTGGAATCCTTTCCTGGCACTGCCAGCACTTGCCTTGAAATACGGCAGGTAATAGGAGCCCAACCACCCAACAATGTGTCACTGCTGGAGCTCTGGTCCCATCAAAAACAGGGGGACAGCTGAAGCAGCCAAGGTAAAACGGTAGAGTGAGGTTCCTTTCATTACCTATGACTGTGCTGGGCTGGAAAGGGCAGGTCAACAAACTCAGTCACACTCTCTTGCAATTATTTGAGAAAATGACAAAATTAAACTCCAGATTAAGATGCTAGCTATTAGTTGTATTTCCTCTTGAAATACTCATTAATATGCAGAAGAGGAAAAGAATGATCAGGACCCTAGGAATTGTGAATACTGCCCCAAGATGCGCCAGTCTCTAGGAGGAGCATCGGCTATCCAAGGCAGAGACGTGCCTTGACACTGTGGGCAGGCCACGAAGAAGAAAGCAGTAGTCTACCTGCTGACCCTCATGCTGGCATTCCTTCCTCTGAGACAGTGGGTTTAAACAATAATAAAGAAACCACACTTTCCTGTCACTGTCTTCACCCATTAGAGACAAACACTCTCAGTAATGCAGCATTTGGTAGGTTGAAAAATGGAAGGGAAGGCAGTGAGTACAATCTAGGGACTACAGTTTACCTACTGTTTCTTGTGGGGAATGAAAGCAGCAGACGAGTTTACTTTTTTCGTCCAGGTTAAGCCATCAGCAGGCAGCAGGAAGCGGCATCTCCTTACCAGTCCCGCAACACCCCACTGGATGGCAGACGTCAGGCACTGGACACTTGTCTGGTCCCTTGTGTACCAACTAGCCTTCCATCTTAGTCCCTCCAAGGAGTACCCTAAAGTCAACAGCAGGGCCACTCGAGGTGTGCATGAAGAACAATGCGGAGGCTGTGGCTGAGTGGGAGAGTAGGAGCTGAGGGTAGCCAGGGGTCAAATCATGCCGGGCCCTGTCTATGAGTGGTGGCGGGCAGCTCTCAAGATGATGTCCAGTGATCCCCACCCGCTGGTGCTCTTGCCTTCTCCTTGGTGGTGGGCTGGGCCCAGTGACTCGCTCCTAGCAAACAAAACATAGCCAAACGGATAGGACATCCTTCCAAGATTAAGTTACAACAAAACTCCGGCTTCTATCTCACACACTCTCTCTTGCTCATTCTGACAGGAGTCAACTAGCACATGGTGAGCCGCCCTGGGCAGGAAATAAGGGATGTATGGGTAGGAAATACCCATGGGTATTTTGGCATAATTTGTTACACAGCAACAGATAGTGAATACATGCGCCACCGTGAGAAGTCTGGCTTTTAACTTTGAGTAACCTGGGAACCAGTTAGAAGGAAATACCCATGGGTATTTCCTACCCTGCATGGGCAGGAAATAAGGGAGGTCACTGGCCAACAGCCAGAGAGGAACTGAGGCCCTCAGCCCTACCCACAAGGAACTAAGTGACTCCCACTAATGATCTCATGGATGAAGGTGGAAGCAGCTCCTCTGCTCGTCGAGGCCTCGCCCGAGCCCACAGCCCTCAGCACGCTTCCCTGCAGCCTCATGGGAGGCTCTGGGTCAGCACCTTGACACCAGCCTTTGGGAGAGGCCCTGACCCTGAGCCAAGCTGCACGTGGATTCCTGACTCACGTATAGTAAATGTTTGTGGTTTTAAGCCACTGAGTTTTGGCATAATTTGTTACAGAGCAACAGTTAGTGAATACATGGGCCATCGTGAGAAGTCTGGCTTTTAACTTTGAGTAACTGGGAACCAGTTAGAAGGCCACTACGACAATCCAGGACAGAGATGAAGGTGGCCTGGCCCAGTGGGGTAGCAATGGGAGCACTAGGAAGTGGTCAGACTCCATACATAAATTAAAGAAAGAACTAAGTGGATTTATAGACACAGTGGTTGTGAGTAGAAAGCAAAAGAGAAGAGTTAAGAATGACTTCAAGATCCTGATTTAAAACCAGGTGTAGGCCAGGTGCAGTGGCTCACACTCGTAATCCTAGCACACTGGGAGGCCAAGGCAGGAGGATTGCTTGAACTCAGGAGTTCAAAACCAGCCTGAGAAACATAGTGAGACCCCATCTCTACAAAAAAGGAAAGGAAAGGAAAGGAGGAAGGAAGGAAGAGCATGGTGGCACGGGCCTGTAGTTCCAGCTTCTTGGGAGGCAAGGTGAGAGGACAGCTAAACCCAGGAATTCAAGGTTGCAGTGAGCTAGAATTATGCCCTGCACTCCAGCCTTGGTGACATAACGAGGCTGTGTGAAACAAACAAACAAACAACAAACAAACAAACAAAAAGGAAAAATAAAAATAAAAACTGGATACAGTGGCATGTGCCTATAGTCCCAGCTACTTGGAAGGTTAAGGCAGGAGAATTGTTTGAGCCCAGGTGTTCGAGACCAGCCTGGGCAGAAAAGTGAGACCCTGTCTCTTATAGAAAAAAAAAAGATCCTGATTCAAACAAACTATAAAAAAATAAAAATAAAAATGCCATTTCTTTGAGACAACTAGGAATTTAAATACGGACTGGGTTATAGGTTTAGGAATTATTTTTAGGTACAATAATGGTATTGTTATTTTAAAATACAAAGAAGTCTTTATCTTTTAAAAATGCATACTGAAATAATTATGTATGAAATGATGTGATGACTAAGATTTGATTTAAAATAGTATGGAATGGGTGGTAGTGGATTGGGGGTTTGAAGGACACAACTGTGGTCATGGGTTAATGGCTACTGGGATTGGGTGAAGGATACATGGAATTCCATTATATTTTCTGTCTACTTTTTGAGTATATTTAATATTATCCCCAATAAAATGTTTTTTAAAAAATGAATGACTCCAAAGGTTTTGGACTGAAAAACTGGATAACAAGAATTACCGAGCTGCGTTTACCTAGATTATCTACAGGAAGGGTGGAGGCGGAGAGTGTGCCTGGAGTCAGCGCCCGAGCGTGCAATCTGCTGAGTTTGGTGGTCCCTTTTGAGAGGGGTGGAGATGCTGAGTGGTCAAGGGGGAGTCAGTGAAAGAGGTGTGGCTTGGGAGTTCCGGCCCAGAGAGGGCGTTTGTGGACTTGACAGTGGATAGGAGCACAGATGGAGGCCCCTGGGCCTCCAACATTTACCAGTCAGGGGGATGAGGGAGTCAGCACAGGGGATCTGGCGGGTGGGCAGCAAGGTAGGCGAGGAACCAAGGACGGAGAGATCTCAGGGAGAAAGTGGTCAGCACGGCCCAGCACTGCTGCTGGGCAAATGCACAGCTGAAGTTCAATTCTGGATTCAGTAACGTGGGCATATCGGTGCCCTTGGTGAGAGGCGCGTCCCCGCGGGGAGGGCTGAGTGCGCTCCAGGGCGAGGGGGCAGAGCCGGGGAGGACCCACAGCGTCACAGAGGGAGGGCTATGCCACTCAAAAAACTATGTTATCAAGAGTTGTGGCTTAAAAACCTGACTATATCATTTAAAATCTGGAAGCTGGTGGAAGGCTAGTGAAGTAAAGCCTATTAAAAGGCCCATGCGCTGTGTTTTCACTCAGAACTTTCTCTTCGTTTTTAAGGACGAGCGCACAGTCCCGTTCGCCTGAGCTGGGTCACGTGTAATTGTGTAATTTCGCCTTGAAGTGGGATTGACATTCAGACACTGATCCTCACCTCATGTGGATTTTTTCAGCCAGAATAGAACCAAGGGATTCTTGGTAAGTGCAACCCTTGGGAGGCAGCGGGAGCGCTTCGACTTCGATGCGTGCTGCCCCTTTCCCACCGCAGACAGACCAGGGCATTTTCAAGGGCGAGAACGCCCGGACGGACTGTCCAGGTGCTCAGGCTCCTGCTGCAGACTCGGCTCACACTGCTGTCTTCCCAGGGGAGAGGTTCGCGCAGCTCATTTATCCTCTGGGGGCCCTTCCCTTAGCATGAGTCATATACATGCAAGACTTAACTGAGATCAAAATCCCAACAAGGTCACTAGGAGATTTGCTTGGATAAAGGCGGTTAAATAAATCCCCAAATCTCTCCTGAGCTATGTTGGAAAAAAAATCCCATAAACTGTTTTCCACCAAAGCATGTGAGGGCATTTCCAACGCTCTACCAAGCATTATGCTGATTGCACTGTTCAGAGGTTTATAAACTAGAAGGAAGATTAAGTAAATCACTGTCTTGACTGACAATGAGAACATATATTTTTAGAAAGCTTAGGATCTTTGATTGGGATTTCTGTGTAACCACATGCACAAAAATATCAGGCACAAATGATGGACAACTTCTGATATACGAATTCTGTCTTCAACATCTACCTCTGATTTAAATATAACCTCTGATTTAAATATCTACTTCATTTTATAAGAACAGGGTTATACTGGCGAGTGAGCAAATCAGCATTTTTTGTTCTTTTAAATAGACAGTGTGACATATTTTCATCTAAAGCTGGATTTGGCAAGCTCTTTCTTAGTATAAATGGCCAGGTAGTAAATATTTTTGGCCTTGAAATTCATATAGTCTCTACCCAATGACTCAGCTCTGCTATTTTAGCAGGAAGGTATCCATAGATAATAAGGGAAGGCTGCATTTCAATACCACTTTATTTACAAAAACAGGCAGCAGATATCTATCTGACAAGGTACTTATATCCAGAATATATCAAGAACTCTTACAACTGAACAATAAAAAGACCGCCTAACAGCCTAATTTAATTTAAATATGGGCAAAGGATTTGAATGGACATTTCTCCAAAGAAGATACACAAATGGCAAGTAAGCACACGGAAAGATGCTCAGAATAATTAGGCATTATGGAAATGCAAATTACTTCATACCCACTAGGATGGTTAAATTTTTTAAAAAGATAATAACAAGTATTAGGGAGGATGTGGAAAAACTCAAATCCTCATACATTGTTGGTGGGATTGTAAAATGGTACAGACACTTTGAAAATCAGTTTTGCAGTTCTTCAAAATATCAAACACAGTGTTACCATATGACCAAACAATTCCACTCTTACGTATCTATTCAAGAGAAATAAAAGCATATGTCCACATAAAAACTTGTACATGAATGTTCATATCAACATTAATAATAGCTGAAAAGTGTGAACAATCCAAATGTCCATCAACTTATGAATGGATAAATAAAATGTTGCATAACCATACAATGGAATATTATTTGGCAATAAAAATTGAAGTACTGAAACATGCTACAACATGAATGGACCCTCAAAACATTATGCTAAGTGAAAGAAGATGGTCACAAAAGGCCACATACTATATCAGTCCACTTATCAGAAATGTTCCCAAATAGACAAATCTATGGAAAAAATTAGATTAGTGGTTTCCTGGGGCTGAGGTGGCAAGTGGGATATCAAGAATGGAAGAGGATATATGGTGAGTTCTTTGGGGGATGTTAAGATAATTCTAAAATCAGATTGTGGTGATGGCTGCACAATTTTGTCAACATACTAAGAGCCAATGAACTATACAAACGGGTAAATTTTATAGTACATGAAATATATCTCAATAGAACTTTTAAAAAAGCAAAACTAAAAACATGCAGCATCCTACATTTCACCCTGTGAGCTGTGGTCTGCCAGCCTCTGCTCTAAGGCATAGGTACATGAAATTGTGAGTTCCCAAGTTTTAACATGAAACGTGTCAAGATACTATAATGATACTCCCATATGCAAGTTTTCTTAGAGAACAACATAACCCAAAAAGCACTGGCTAGTGAGTGCTGTTGGGTGTAACATGACATAATGATTATATAGCAACAGCAATAATAACTTAGCAGCTAATGATTATTGACCACCCAACTGTAAACATTTACTGAGCACTTTAAATATATATATATATACATATTATATATATACATATACACACACGTGTTTATATACATATGCACACACATACCCTCATTTATTTCTCTCAACAGGACTCAGAGGGGCCCCCAAAAGCCAGACCGAATCTGGGTGTATGTGGGTATGAGAAATACTCCAATACATTCCTGTCCTTTTTTGTGATGATGAAATAAATTTCCATCTAAGCTGTTAGAAATTCAACCTAAGTGGCAAACAATCGCGATTTAGGAATGTGAAAATGGAGGCCCAGGGGTGGAGTTTGGGGTGGGGGCAGGGAGTGGCCTGTGCTCACTTCTGGACACTTAGTTCACAATGACTTTAATGTCCAAATCCCACTGTGACCTCTAAAAGAGGTGGCTTAATTTGCCAATTCAGAAGCCAGGTAAGAGGACCTGTTACCCCAAATTCGGCTGTTGATTTTTGAGTGGAGAATGTGCTGGGGCTTTTGAT